AATCAAATTAATATTTATTAATTTAAAATTTTAAAAGTTAAAATTTAAAATTTAAATTATTTTTTTTTTAATTTTTCTAAACAACTAACTATCTATTGTTCAAATAAAAATATTTCAAAAAAAATGCCCTTCGAGTCTTATACACAACAAAAGAAAAGAGGAATATCAATTAAAAATAAAGTGTTAAAAATCACCTCCAAAGATAAATAGGTTTAATTTCAAATAAAATTTTTAAACTTTTATAAAATCAATAAATAATATTCAAAATCTTTACTTATGTTGAATAATATTTTAGATAGGTTAAACTCTTAATTTGATTCTTTAATTATTATATGAACTTTTAAATTGATCTCTAAACTTAAAATCTTTTGTTTTGATCCTAAATTTTGAAAATTTAACCCGTTTTAATTGTTTGGTTAAAAATTCACTAACATTTACTTAGATGAGAGAAGAATGATATGTACGAAGCTTTCACACGTCGGATTAACAACATGGTAAAAAGGACATGCTAAAAAAATACTTTTTTTTTTATTCCTCTTTACCTCTTCCTTTCATTCGCTGTGTACAAACCCTATGTCCTTAACTTGTAATTGCCCTACATTTTTTTTCCATTAACCAAATCAATTTAAACAAGATAAATTTGCACTTTCCTCTTGATTTCTTAACATTAATTACAATTTCTATTATCTCACAACCTCGTATTTAAAATATCAAACCTTGTATTTGAGCATAATAATCTTCAATTATGTGTTATTAAGTTTAATAGTCGAGCATAAGCTAACTAATCTTTGCCTCTTTGGCATCCATCTTTTTCTCTGCAATCTTCAACTATATACATACTCTAGTGAAAATGAGCATCAGTTTTGCAAATCCGAGTAGGATCAAGACAATAGTCAAAACCGATAATCCTTTGGGCTTCATAAGTGGCAAAGGGTACCTATAGAGATCCTTAGTCCCTTCAAAAGAGCTGGCATTAAATCTTGGGAAATTACTATTTATGTTCCCTAAAGAAGACAAAGTGGGACTAGAAAGCTTATTTAATGAAACATCAAAAGCATACAGGTGCATAGGAGACCCAATTGCTAAGGAATTTACCCAAAAAGCAAATTGTCATGAAGATTCTATGACGTTTAGGTAAGCGCACAATGCAAGCTACGGAAAGATCTCACGGTCAAGTCGATTGTGGGAGAGATTCAAAATTGCTAGATTGACCAAGGATTACAAATCTTGGGGGATGGGTTTGGAGATTAAGTTGGAAGAGAAGTCAAGGGATTGAAGATTGGTATAGTTTGAGAGAAAAGGAGAAATGTACCTTGGTGAAAGAAACTAGAGAGAGAAAGCTTCTACATGCAACCATCTTTATAGGTGGCACGGGGGTAAATTGGAGGTCAATCTGTTGTAGGGGCTAGCAAAGTTAGATTTGGTCCAGTTTTAAAGATTTTTCAGTGGGTCTTTGAAGGAAATTGTGAATTTATCTTCTTCGAATTGATTAGATTAATGGAGAAAAAAGTAGGGCAATTGTAGGTTAAGGAGTTATGATTTACATAAGGCGAAGGAAAAGAAGAGGAAGGAGAAAGCAAAAAAGGAAGAAGAGAAAAAAAGAAAAAGAAAAGGAAACATTAAAATTTTTTTTCCCCATCTCATTCTTTTTACCATGCATGCTCTCAATCCTACATGTCAAAAATTTTGGTACATGTCATTCTTCTCATCAAGTAAGCAATCACATTAGTCTATTGGAATCTTGCCAACCTAATGTCAAAGGAAGTTGTTAGAAGGGAAGGGGCTGTGTTGCATAGCGACTGTCTAGTTGTTAACACTCTTAACATTTAATTACTTTAATATTTTATTTAGTTACAAATTAATGATACTTAACTTTGCACGAGTCACATTAGTAAATTTTTAATAGAGGAACAGAAAAGGATTAAATTTTAAAAATTTTAAAACCAAAATAGATTTTTTTAAAAAATTTAAAAATTAATTCCAAAACTTATACAACAGTTGAGGCATCAAATTGTGAGTTTATCATTTAGTTTTATATAAAAAAAGTGAGGATATGATATCCCTTCCATCAACCACCATTAAGGTCCCCATTAATTTTTCTTTTTCTTTTTCTTTTTCTTTTTGTTAAGTCCACGTTAACAAACTTTCTTAAATTGAAAAATGTGCAATAAGCCCTCCAAATAATTTTCACTAACAATTTTTTTAGTAATTTCTATCATAATTGAGATGTCTCATTTAACTTATATATGCAATTTTATTCTTCTTTTAAATATAATAAATATAATGAATTTTTTTTGTAAATAATTAAAATTTAAATAATAGAATAAAAAAATTTATGTAATTTATAATTAACATTAATTTAGAGTATTCACATTAGCATATATCCCAATGATATTAAAGGTGAATTCAATAT